ATCACCTCTTAAACGGTTAGGTATTCTGCTCAATTATTTTGGTAGGGATTTTTTTTTCATTTAGAGAGGTGTGGAAATTCCGTCCGATGTTAGTTAAAAAATGGAAAGATTAATCATTTACCAAGTGTGCAGGGTTTCCCCCAGTGTATTATAGTTCGCCAGCCTTTCCTAAAAAGTAAACTTAAATATTTGTGAAATAATTGCACAGGTTATGGTAGGTAAGGTCTGAAGGTGAAGGGATATCTGGCATTTGGTAGTCTTGTATCATCAGAAACAATCTAGCAGGGAAATTCTAAGGATCCTGGACCACAACAAGAGAACTTTTCGCAACATAGCACTGTATTAATTCCCCATCTGAATGTCAAACATATGTAGGCAATGTTTGGTTGGGAGATTCGCAAATAATTTTGAATAACATCGGTCTAGTAAATGTCTCGCTATATTATTGCGATGCACGTAGGTGATTTTATGCCATGGCGCAAACAGACAGCAGTCATGTGATTGCACATTATCTGACACAACGTCACATAATCGCTCACTGGTTTCATACTTTACAAACGTAAGCCAAGAACCAAAAATGCCACACAAAAAAACACTGTTTAGGCGGCTTTGGACATGATCCTGAACCAAGTCGAGTCTTGCAACTCGGGTGGAGAAGACAGACCTTCAGATGAGTTCAGACTTTGACATTTCTTCTGGTGAGCATTCCTAAACATCCAATTTTTAGTTGCTGATTATGGTAGTTATGTTTTAGGAAAATATAAAAAAAATATATCCTGAACAAATACAGAAGTGGCAAACTTGAGATATTTAGGAATTATAATTCAAATCGTAACTTTTGTCTAAATTTGTAAATTTTCATTGCTCATATCATTCGGATATTTCATGACTCATTTCAATACAGGTGAAGAGACCTCACCACCACTTGAAAAGAGAGGTCAATTGGTGACACACATCAGGCCAACAGAGGGGGAAGATGGCAGTGTGGGCCCGGAAGAAGAGATCGGGAAGCCTCTCCTTCAAAGTAAATAAAATTGTACGCCACAGAAGATGGAGAGCAAACAGCTTTAGTCAGAAGACCTACAGAGCTTCCGCTGCTTCATCACCCTTCGCTCCACACTGGAGGACAGTTGGTTCAGGATTCATGACATAGCAGCGTTAAATGCCCATGTGCTCCATAAGGCATGCACAGGGGTGCAGGAGAAACGGGTGGACTTCCTAGTGGGAAAAGGGCGTTTCGCCTGGTGAACCTTTGGTGCAGCAATTCACGCCACCATGCGCTATGTTGATTGTTACAAGCATACATGTGGTAAATGTAGGGAGGAGCTGGTAAAATGCCAAGCATGCTCAGATGATGTAGTGTTGAAGGACAGGTCCAACCCATGACCAATGACATGTCACCATCTTTGTGATATATACATTAAAGATAACTGTATTTGAACACCCTGCTCTTTTGCAAGTTCTCCCACTTTGAAATCAAGGAGGGGTCTGAAATTGTCATCGTAGGTGCAACTCCACTGTAAGAGACATAATCTAAAAGAAAACATCCAGAAATCAAAATGTATGATTTGTCAACTATTTATATGATACAGCTGAAAATAACTATTAGAACACATGAGAAAATCAATGTTAATATTTGGTACAGTAGCCTTTATTATTAATGACTGAAGTCGAACGTATCCTGTAGTTTTTCACCAGGTTTGCACACAGTGCCGGAGGGATTTTGGCCCACTCCTCCACACAGATCTTCTCTGGATCAGTCAGGTTTCTGGGCTTTTGCTGATAAACACAGTTTGAGCTCCATCCAAAGACTCTATTGGGTTTAGACTGGCTAGGCCACACCAGAACCTTGATATGCTTCTTACAGAGCCACTTGTTGGTTATCCTGGTTGTGTGCTTTGGGTCATTGTCATGTTGGGAGACCCAGCCTCGACCCATATTCAATGCTCTGAGGGAAGGAGGTCGTTTCCCAAAATCTTTCAATACATGGCCCCGGTCATCCTCTCCATAATACAATGCAGTAAACATGTCCCATATGTAGAAAAATGCCCCTAAAGCACTAACACCCCCATGCTTCATAGTAGGGATTGTGTTCTTGGGATGGTACTCATCATTCTTCTTCCTCCAACCAAAAAGTTCTATTTTGGTCTCATCTGACCAGATGACTTTCTCTCATGATTTCTCTGAATCATCCAAAAGGTCATTGGCAAACTTAAGACAGGCATTGACGTGTGCTGGTTTAAGCTTGAAAACCTTCAGTGCCACGCATGATTTCAAACCATGATGTCTTAGTGTATCACCAACAGTAACCTTGGAAACCGTGGTCCAAGCTCTTTACACATCATTGACCAGCTTCTCTTGTGTAGTTCTGTGCTGATTTCTCACCTTTCTTAGCATCAATGAGACTCCACGAGGTGAGATCTTGCATGGAGCCCCAATCCAAGGGAGATTGACTAATATTTAGCTTCTTCCATTTTCTAATGATTGGTCAAACAGTGGACCTTTATTCACCAAGCTACTTGGCAATTTCCCCATAGCCCCTTCCAGCCTTGTTGAGGTGTACAATTTTGTCTCTAGTGTCTTTGGACAGCTCTTTGGTCTTGACCATGTTAGTAGTTTGATTCTCACTGATTGAATGGGGTGAACAGGTGTCTTTTTTCAGCAAACGACCTCAAACAGGTGCATCTAATTAAGGATAATAAATGTAGTGGAGGTGGAAATTGGGAAGGCAGACTAATAGGTCTTTGAGGGTCAGAATTGTAGCTGATAGGCAAGTGTTCAAATACTTATTTGCAGCTGTATCATAAAAATAGATTTTAAAAAAAACCATACATTGTGAATTCTGGAATTTTATAGTGGACATGCACCTACGATGACAATTTCAGACCCCTCCATGATTTCTGAGTAGGATAACTTGCAAAATAGCAGGGTGTTCAAATACTTATTTTCCTCACTGTATCTGTAGTCTTATTGCACTAAATATACTGCAAAGGCTGGTGTATTTGCATTTTTCTTAGTCATTTCAAAAAATGACATGTTTGAATCTTGCGCTTCAACAATAAATCTATGCAAGGAATTGTGTAAAAAGTGTTTAATTTTTACTACGCAAAGAATTTTAATTTATTTTTTCAGTTGTGCTCACTGTAAATATCATTGCTCATACTCTGCTAAACTGGTTATGCCTGAATGTGCATTTCTGAAAAAGGGTAACTTAATTTCATCAACCTGTCATTTGCAGAACCATGGTGTCCTTCACACCAGAGTTACGATATTAGCTCAAAGCTAATCTGGCGGCACTCTGGGAGTGGACGGTAGAAAAGCCAAATGGCTGGGCTTTGGGACTCTTAGTGTTTAAGTAGTTTAGTAGACCCTATTGACATAAACACAATTTATGTTCTTTATTTTAAAGGATATTACAGGGAAATACTGCATTTAAGGTAATGGTTATATTCCAGTAATTATTTGGAATTAGGCATACAAGCAGACAAATATGTTTGCCAATGAATTTGCATTGTTCAAAAGTTAAGTTTGAGCTGGTTCTAAAGACCTGGATTCATACATAAAGGTGTGCTGGCATGCTAAAACACAACAAAACAAATTGTGGATTTTTTCTCTTGTGTGGAATGCATAGTGATTGCTTGCAGTTATAAGGACTTGCTGCTTTTATGAGGATTGTTTCTTCAAGCATCTTCTCCCAGATCCAGACCAGAGTATCACTGAGATCCTACAAAGTCAGAAGTTCAACAAGTTGGAGTCTCTGACTTAAATGTGATGTCTCAGATACATTCTGCTGGAGTCAGGCGAGGTTGGAGGCCTGGAAATGGTTCCAGATCCTTCCTGCCAAGGAAACCCACAAATTCTGCTGCTCAGAGAATGGTAGTGATGGGCGGTAATAGGCATCAGGCCTCCCTTAAAGAAATCTGTTTCCTGGTTTGATCAAGGAAATTCATATCAGTGGCTCTCCCAGAGGCACAGAAACCTTTCTGGTGACAGTGCATGGTGATGTTCCATCATCCTGGTGGAGCTTGGCTGCCTGGGCACCAGTTTTATGGTCCAGGTATCCCCTCATGCAACCATGGTAAACTGATTAATCTTATTTGCTTAATTCCTTTTATCTACATTCAAATAATGTTGAGGCTTGTTGCTGGATATCTATTTTTCATTAATTGGTGCAGTAATCTTCCTTCAAAAATAAAACTAATCAATTAGTATTTATACAACTTAAGGAAAAAGAAAATCAATGAAATAAATAGGTAATCTTGATTTAGGGTCTAGGTTAATGTATTAGAATGCCAGAACAATTTGGAAAAATTGCCATAAATATAAAGTATTGAGTGTTTGAAGACAAAAGCTTGTAATGAGTAAATGTAGGAAACACACTTGCAACTAAACAACAGGTAAATGAACATTTTATTTACACAATATGTTTTGATTTCAATAACAGCAACCTTCTTAGTACCAGGTATAAGAGGCACAGAAATATTTACAGGTCTGGTCTCACACCGAATCCTGGTCCTGTAGGAGGTTCTGTCAGAGAAGTCAATCCACCTGCTGGCTCACAAGAGAAACGGCCACTCCTACAAGATAAACAAATTATTATTAGAAGATTAGAAAGTGGAAATTTCTTGATTGGGTGTTTGTTGTTTATACCTAGGCCCAGGTGGTGGGACTCGTCCTGCCTTCAGTTCATCAATAATATGCTCAATATCCTTTGGTGTGAGGTCCTCCTGAGGGGGAGAAATAAGCATCAATCCGTTAGACACTGCAGTTGTCAATGTTGTTACTGTAGGGAAAAATAAGGCTATCCATGTCATTTCTATAGATGTATCCCTAACCTTGTGTGAACCCCTGGATGTTGCTGCTCATGGGTTTGCTAAAGGTCGGGTTCAATAGGACTCAAACCAAGAAACTAAGGAAAGAGGGCTAATGTTTCTGCAAAAAAACAAAACTAAGAAAAGTAATTGGTGTATTTTCAAAAATAAAGTAAAACAATGCATGCTGATGTTAAAATACAGGAGAGCCATGGCCTAGTGGTTAAAAGGCAGGGTGTTTGGGTTCAGGAGAGGCAGCAAGATCCCAGTTTATAAGTCTGCAACCATCAGTCTCCTAGCATAAGCGTAAATCTGATCCAATGCTGCTGTTAGCTGCCCACTGCATCCTTAGGATCACTGTAATGTACAACTAGATAGGACTAATTACTGTAATAAAAAGCATTAGATAAAACAAGATAGCCATATCAAAATCTAATTTTTCTTCTAAGGTTAGCCTAAAACAGCTAAATAGAAATATTACATTCTTTATCAACAAAACCTTAAAAAAATATATATAATCTAGTGGAAAACCTGCACATTACTTCCTGATCTGGAGTAGAAATAGGATGCTTTCTTCACATTTTAAGCTCTTATACTTTTTTGCTTTAAAATGTTTTCTATATAACAGGAAAGCTGAAGCTGCTTTTAAAGTTCATCATTTTTATGAAACTGACAAAGAAATATGTATAAACATCTTTTCTGAACTGGACATCAAACAAAATCAAATACTTCTAGTATTCCGTATCTGAGCAGGTGAGGGAATCTCATTTTTTTGTTAGTTTATGACACATTCACAACGGAGTAGAGAACATTATGCAGATGAATTGTTCAATTTAGCAGAATGAAGATAATTATTATGAGATGAAGCCAAAAAATAGAAAAAACAGGTTTGAGCAAACTGCTATCCTAGTAGTCTACTGCTCCAATGCAGGAAGCATTTTAATCTAAAAAGGACATTGAAACCTGTCTGCTTTACAGTTGTATTGGATGTATAAAAACGTACAGTAAATCTTTATCAAAAAGGTAACATTTTAAAACTCTAGTCTAAATACTGGCTTACCTAATCCTATTACCTAGAAATTTCATTTAAGAGCACAAGTTGCTCACTAACATCCCAGAACGACCACTGCTTATGTTATTAATAAGATCTCTTAACTTTTGTAATCACATTTCAGCAGTTTTACAACAACCTTCAGTGTTTTTCAGTTTTTTTTTCCTCCTTAAACTGTGGTTTATTTTAGCTAAGCGTTCAATTACTAATTTCCCCCATGTGGATATAACGGCACAATTATTCAGAAAACACGTTGTTAATGTCACATCTGCCTTTAGAAGTGAAACTATTTCTTGTTGATTGCGTGTGGACTGCAGCGCAGCTGAAACAGCGCTGGTAGCTGCACTCTCTGCAGGCATTCCTTACAAACGTATTTCTGCTTTTAATCTAATTCTGTTAATGTAGTTAAGAGTGTGCAGCAAGGAGGCCATCTGCGCAGAGTGGCCCAGCACTCACATAATAGTTGTCATTTATCTGAACCATTGGGGCATTCACGCAGGCGCCCAGGCATTCCACTTCTATCAGAGTGAACATCTTGTCTGGAGTGGTTTCTCCAGCCTTAATACCTGTTGAGAAAACATAAGGTAGGTGGAAATTAAAAGGGAAAATAAATTATGCAGATTATGAAAGCATGTAATATCTACTTGACTGTAAGTAAAGGAAAAGAAAAACTAGCATCATCTTCTAAATGTAAGGCTGAACTTTGGTTTCCTGTTTTGTTTCTTGTAACCTTGTTTGTTGCCACTACTTGTTGAATACCATTTAGATTTACATGTTTGTAAAAACCTTAATCTTGTCTATAAATTATTAAAACTGAGAGTCTGTAGTCTTTTGAGTTTTCATGTCTTTATTTGTTTTGTTCTTAAGTTGAAAAAAGTCCTCCCTTACCCAGCTTGGTTTGGATGGTCTCCAGAATGCTGTCAGAGTTGCAAAGCATGCAGGGGGTTGTTGTGCAGATCTGAATGAAGTATTTTCCCACAGGCTGACGGAGGAACATGGTATAAAATGTTGCCACTTCATACACTCGCATTGGCGCCACCCCCAGCACCTCAGCAACCTGAACAAAAACAATTAGCTGCATTCAGAGGGTGCACTGTTCAAGTTAAAACACCCATAAAATGTGAATAAACTAATTTGAACAGCTTATTAGAATAAAAATCAACAGCAATAAAAAAGCTTTAGAAATCCGGTACGACTTGGTCATTATCCAGACTTTGGGCAATAATTAATTATTAAGTATCTGGATTTTAGCTGTGAAAGTGAAGGGATTGCTAAAAATGTCTAAAGCTTTGAACTTTTTTTTCCATTAAAAAAATATATTTACAAAACATTTGAATAAGATTATAAGGGACAAAAGAACAAAAATTTGTCTAAATGAGAGAGGAAATAATTCATAACCCCACACACACAAACACACTTAATCAGAAAACCTTCTCTAGTAGCCTTTAGCTTTGATTAAATTCTGTATTTTTGTGCGTTTTAAATTGTCATTTTTAGAATTCAGAAAATATTCTTTAATCTGACATATCTTTAGAAATCTAGCTATTTTTAATATATTTTGACACAAAATAAAAATGCTCTGTTGCTTTAAGTTTAAATCAGCGGTTTTAATTAGTTTTGTTGTCGAAGGCAATTTGTATATTAGCCAAATGTGGTTCAGGGGTCCACCTCTGATGGGATCAATCTTATTTCTGCTAATTCTGCCATAACAGAGACACAATCAGCTGCCAAGAAGTTATTAGAGAGCAGAGCATAAGAGGCTTTGGGGAAATGACTGTGCCTTGTTCATTGCAGAGATGGGGAGCCATCCATGCTGCCTTTGGGCCAAATCCAAGACCGGGATGGTGGCTGCTTGCTTGTGTCCTTCGGGATACATTGAAAGGATTGCCTCAATCCTCTACGAGTGAACAAAAAAGAAAGAAAGAAAGAAGACAGCTCTTTAATAAAAGTGGGTTTAATCTAACAAATTCCAAAGTTTTTAAAAATGCAATGAATTCCAACTACATTGACATTTTCAGTGCTAAAAAGCCTCATATGAATTATCCTAAGAAGAATTATTGAACACCTAGCAGCTCTGTTAAAAAAATAAAAGTTAAAACGTTAAAAGCATTACTGTTCATTGTTAAATCAGTAAAGCTAAGAAAAGCAAATATGAAAGGTCTGAACATTTATTTACAGGAGCTTTAAAAAAACACAACAAAAACATATATAAAACCCCTTGGGGTAAAGATCAGACTTGTTCTGCCAAACAAAACTAAACCACATCAGTGCACCTGTCAGCTGTCCCGCTGAACACAGAAGCCAGCCTTACCTTTTTGTTCTCCGCTGTGAACTCGAAAGGAGTGTCAGCATTGTTGTCAGGCGTATCTCTATGCTGAAGGAATAAAAAATACTAGGTTACAAAGAGTTCAAAACACAATAACTGTTAGTTTTTAAGTGACAATATTAAGTGTTCATTATCCATCACATAATGAAGCTGATATCAGTTATTTTTTGTACAAAACATGGCTGGTTGGTTTATAAAAGATTAACCAGGAAGGCGCCATAAAAACACAGAGAGGAAACAGGTGTTTTTCTTTAATGGCAGAGAGGATCCGTAACAACTATTATTTCTGCTTCTGCACACACTGCCCCCTTGTGAGCAGCAAATGGCCTTTGTGAAACCTTTTATTGAAGGGAAGTGTCTTTTAAAATTAAACGTTACCCTAACCACTTGAAATTAGTTGTTTAAAGCATTTCTCAGCTTTTATTACTGTCGAACACTGAATACAGGAACAACTTTAACGAATCTAACAATAAACCGATTATAAGCTCTTTATACACTCAGAAAAGAAGAGGAAATGACTTTCTGGCAGGTGATCCGATTTCAAACCCCATCCATCCAGCTGTTTGTTTGTTTTTTAATCCAAGTAGTTGTCAGATTTCTCTTAGCAGAAAAAATAAGCATCCATATTAAGAAATGTTTGAGTTCCAGTCAATAAGGTTTACTGCTTGGAAAAATAAGGAGCAAATGGAAAGATGAGTACTTCTTGGAGGATTTTAGTAAAACTGTGGTGCGGCGTAAAGCAGGCGTTATCATTTGTTACAGCTTTCACTTTTGAAAGTAGTACTGCTCATTTAATATTGGAAGTATTGAGGGATGAAATAGAGCAGACTATTATGTATTGTACAGAATGTACACACATTGCAGCTGCCAGAGAAATGTCTATTACCATCACCGAGAACCAAGGAATTAGAAAAAAAAGAAAATGAGAATATGTCATAACAGTCTTCTTGAATACACAAGGATCAGATCCACAATGACTGGAAATGTGATTAAGTTGATTACTATAGCAGTTTAATTGGTGTTCATCTCTATAATGCATGAGAACCTATAAATTAAATGATATTCTAAATCAGTCTTTGCATGTTGAAGTGGGACGTAAACTGACCACAAAGATGCCTCCAGCTCCAGCTCTTGCAGCAGACCGATGCAGACCCCTGATCTGCCTGGCCTGCAATACAGATGAAAACAAGTAAATCATAAGTTACATATAACAGTGAAATTAACATACACACACACACGTATATATCATATGTTGTCTAATTGAGGTAAACGAGTTAGTGGCCTTTTATGCATTTTATGCATCTCTGCAGAAAGCAAACATTTTAATCTACAAAGACACGATGACTCTGAATACTTTGATAAATATACATTTATATGCTAATACTTTGCTAAATCAACACAGCAGCTTATTTCAAGACTAAAAACTCCCGTTTAGCTGCTATTATTATGATTAGATGTCAGTATTTGTTTTTATATGGAGTCTACCTGCAATTCCTTGCATTGGAAGTAAAATAGGCTTTATTCGGTCTTTTTTGTCAAGTTATCACCTTTTAAATAATAACTGACATGTTGAAGCTAGGCTATCTGCTACTGTTACCAAACACCCCTTAGCCTAGCCTAGCCTAGCTTAGCGGCCCATGCTAGGTGTCCTTGTAAAGAGTCACTGCTCTTCCACTCCTATCTACCTGACCTAAGGTTCCTGACTGAGACTGTCAGCATGCAAACAGTATCAACGTACCCCCTGCGAAACAGCAGCTCGGAGAGCAGAAGATAAAAACATCCTGGAGCCTCAGGTTCGTGTTAGCAGCAGAAGGACGGGAGTGAGGACGCAGTGGAGGAGATCAACGCCGACGCTCGATTGGCTGGGTCTGTGACGTCAGATGGAAACGCTGCACTGTCAACTAAATCGATACCAGATTCAAAACAGATGATTGACCACCACTTATTAAAGCGACGTTTCATATCAGTTATTATTTATAATACCCAGTGGCGGTTCTAGACCAAATTTACCAGGGGGCCAGAGTGTTTTTTTTTGGGGGCACAGAACAGCGTTAAATAAAAAACAGGGCAAGGGATTCAAATACATTAAGATATGTGCATTAAGTGAAATTTCTATTCAATTAGGTTTAATTAAAATTCTATGTCTTATTAGGTCAACGTACATTCAGAATTTAGTAATTTTACATATTTTTGACTTAATTTAAGTTAAAATGACCGTTTTCTATAAAATCTGAATTAGAATTCAAGAAAAACTCATAAATTCAGCTGTAAAAATTTGAGCTTTTTTAAAAATTTGTTTTGAAAAAAAAAAAAAACATTTAGCAGATAAATACTGGAATCCTATCTCAATATCACTGAAGCTATCACCCTACTGTTTTTAAATAATTAGTAAAACAGAATTTGTAAAGGAAAAACATGAAATAGATCCAAAGAAACTTTCAGTAACCATGTCTGTTCCAGCACATATCATCATTAGAATGTCTTTGGGTATTATGTCTTCAGTACAGGGGCCATAACAGGGACCAGGACATGAAATACAGGGGCACTTGCCCCTGTCTAGAACCACCCACGATTATACCTATGCCATATGGCCTTTAATCAGACTATTATTTATAAATGTCTTACTCCTCCAGCTCCTCATTTCTTGTTTACCTGATCACCTTTTCAACAAATAGCCTTTTTAATGATTGATGATACATTACAGATCACATCGGATATGGACTGCATTATTGTCCCGTTGATTACTTAATGGCAATATCTAGTGTTTGGTAACAAAACTCCCTATCTGTTTTTTCACATTGCATGTAGAATGGCCTCCTTAAAAGTGTTTTTACACTTTCAAGTGTTTCAAACACAGCCTTGTTTTTCTCTCCTTTTAATCACAGAGGTACCCAAACACAAAAAGTAAAAGGCTAGGGGGTAAGATAACTGGCAATATATAAACTCAGCAAACATGTATATGTTTTTAAAAAAAATTTATAGGGCAAACACATTTAGGATTTGTATGTGTTCCTTGTTGTTAACTCATAGATACATATAATATCAGATCCTCAGCTGTGAAAATACACCTTTAGATGTTTTATGAATACAATTTACAGAGTTACAACTTTGCAATAAGACAAACATCACAGATTCAGGAATTTGTGAGTATGAATGACACATTTAAAAGCACAAATTTATGAGTAAGAGTAAAAAAAAATTCACAATAATGAGGCATTTATAATATGAATTACACATTTACAAGTACCAATTGCACATTTATGAGTACAAATATCATATGTGAAATTATGCTTTTTACGCTCATATGTAGATATGAGCTCACACTAAAAAGGGAATATTATTGTAAAGAATAAACATTACACCATTTAAATAACATGTAGAAAAAAACAAACATGCTGTAGTATCATTGTAATAAGCAGTGTTTTGTCACTGTTTAAATATTATATATCAGTCTTTATAGACAGTTGTTGTTTTTTTTCTCCTCATGGATGCCAAACACCCTCCCTCTGAAAACAAACCCCAGGCTGAATCCAAAGCACTCATCCTGCACCATACCACGTCCTCCTCTTCCTCCTCCCTCTGGCTTGGAAACATAATGTGATCAACATGCCAGTGGAAGCTCATCCAATGAAAAAGTGGGAGTGCTCCGTTCCACGACCTGATTGGCTTCCCTGACACTAAGCAGACTGAGGGAGCAGTCTGCAGATCCGGGATTAGAGGTGGGTCTTTGTGCATGCTGAATTGTGTTGCTTCATTGCAGGAGGCCTTATTCTCACTTTACCCTGCAGGATTCAGACACAGCAGGAAATATTCCAGATCAAACCATTTTTACTTCTAATGACAGATATCTGTCTCTATCTGTGCTTTTAAAATGGTTGTTCCTGAATCACAGGAGAAAATTTACCACCCCCCTCCTGATCTACAGAGGGATGCTCATGTGCCTGATTTCAGCTCCTATCTGGAAATGTACAAGAAGTCGCTGGAGAATCCAGAAGGTAGGTCAGACCCCCACTTCCCTGAGTTTGTATCATAATGCCAAAAATGACTTCTTAAGTCCCTACATTTTAGCATTCTGGAAGGAGGTTGCAGATGAGTTCTTTTGGAAGAAGCCAGCGACGGGTCCAATGCTTCAGTACAACTTTGACGTGACAAAGGGCAACATATTCGTCAAATGCATGGAAGGAGCCAAAACCAACATGTGCTATAATGTGTTGGACAGGCATGTGAAGGAAGGGAACCTTGGGGAAAAGGTTGCATATTACTGGTAAGTTTAAAAAATGAGTTATATCAGATATTCCAGCCAAGCACTACTGCTGTGCCCCCAGTGCCAACTACGCTGCACCAGATAAATCACCTTAGCAGCAGCACATTGTAATGGCTTCAACTGTCCTACTTTGCATCTCTATTTAGGATTTATCCCAGCTTTGAATTTCTGTGTGGTACTTTTTATTGTTGCTGCAACAATATATGAAGGCTCATATTTGCTCTGTCAACTGCAGAAGCTTTGCAAACAAGAAGCAGCTGCTCTACCAGCTCAGCAGTATAGGGGATCAGTGAAACATGGGGACACTGGAGATCATCCAGGCATTTCAATACTGTTTGCACCAAATCAAAGCACACATTATGTGTGCTGGTTGCATATGCTTTTTCTGCGCAGCTTGCAGGGAGGTATAATAGTGGATCTCCAAGCTTTCAGTTACTGCATGGTTTGTTTTGACCATCATCTTAAATGTGTTATGACTAAAGGTAGGATTTTAAAACACTGAGCTGACAGAAAGTATGTCAACTCTCTGGTACATCTTGAATCAGCCTAAATGCTCATTCAAAACAAAAAAAACTTGCAAAATACCCAAATGAAAGGAATACAATTATTTGAGCAGAAAATCTATGACAAATTTCATTTTGACTCTCTTTTCAAGATAGTTCCACACCTTTTGTACCTTAAATCACATGAACCAAACCAACTCACATGCGGGCCAGACAGGTAGATAATAACAACACAAGTCTGTGCATGTACTTGTACATTTAATCCTGTCAAATGAGAAATACATCAAAATGAATGTCTCACCTTTTTTTGACATTGGCACTATTGGGGACATAATGAAAACAAAATCATCCCTCCGCAGAACGCTCCCACTATGTAGATATTATTGATTTTTAACAAACATGAAAATGTTGAGTAGTGGAAGCGCCTCAGTTATGTTTTCTGAAGTTCATGGCAACCCACTTTCAATTAATAATGGGGAGCCACACTTGAAAAAAATATAAGGAAGCTGCTTTCCATTTTCTTTTTGCGATTTTGGACTCATCATGATCATTAACAACATAAAAAGTAGTCAGCTCTATTTCTTTCAGAGTAACCCTTTGTAAACTTGATATTTAAGAACATTGATAACCCTAAATATTACTGGATGATATCAAACATTGTGATATTATTTTAAGCTACGTTTTTGTGATTTTATATTTCCAATTTTAAAAAGAAAATAACAAAAAAATAATACAGAGTCAACATATACTGAGGCAATACGGCCAAAGAAAAACAAAAAATAACAAACTCGCAAAATACACTGACGAATAGGCAGAACAATGGCAATGGTAAGGAAGAGAAACAGTGGTTCATAAAAAAGAATAAAAAAAACATGAATTAAATGTATGAATTCATGTTGAGCAAGTCATTATTTCCATATCTTATTCTAAGGTAACGGAAACAAGCCGAACTTGAATAGGAGAAGCTTTTGTTGTTCACTCAGAGTGACAAAACAATGTTTGAAGTTTAAAATTGAAAAGACAACAACATGAAACATCATGTTACATTTACTATTTCCTCAACCTAATTTTTCTGTCATTTTCCATAGGCTTCTGCAGTACGGTTATGTGTTCTATCTTAAATGATACAGTTAATGTGTCTGCTGCTTTTTCCAGTCACAATGGCACGTGGTTTTGTAAATAGCTGTCCTGACAAACATCCAAACCAAATATAGACTCAGTAACAACTGGAGCTCTTTGCCTCTGCTATGAATGCTTAGAATCTGCAGAGCAACTTCACAGCTCTTACTGTTGGATCAAATTGCTTTACCATACAGCTTATTTACCCGTTCCATGTGCACCCATGCACACTCCTGACTAACGGATGCTAACTTGTAAACTAATTGCTAACTAAAGGAAAGATGGTTCTTCTCTAACTTAGTTATTACAATAAAAAGCTCATGTCTCCTAGAACATTTTTTTGAGTCTTTTATATATCCACATAAATTATTTTTATCTGCACACAAAATCTCACTTTGACCTTGAAGAGAAACTGCCTGAATCAAATTCTGAATTTATTGTTCAGTTTATTGTCTTGTTTCCAGGGAGGGGAACTCGCCGGAACATCATAAGACTATCACCTATGGCCAAGTGCTGAGCCACACCTGTCGCTGTGCCAATGTGCTCAAACAATTGGGTGAGAAACTCACCTAAGAGACTAAAAATTACATATTACAACATCAGTTTTAATGACCCCCCAATACTGTATGACAGCAGAAAAAAAAAAAAAGTGATTCACATTTATATTTCTGAAGTCATTACATTATTTCACTGGAAACATATAACATTCTAGTATCTGATAGACAAATCATTTTTAACAAGCTGAGATTTAATTTTAGTAATACCTTTAAAGCAAATTTGAATTCCAAACAATTAAAATGTTTTTGTTTGTCACTGTTTCCTGTTAGTACTTGCTAGCTAGCAAACGGTTAGTCAATGATACACCTAAATGTTACTTTTGATAACCACAATTTGGCACAGAAAAGTTTTAACTATTTTTCTCTGCTTTCTAATTTACAAAAATCAAAGAAATCCCTCAGTCTATTTAGTCTATTAGCTAGAGATATCTTGCTAACAAT